AAGGTGATTATTTTAAGAAAATTATTCCGTAACCTCTGAGAATATTGAGACTTGGTCCTAAACTATTTTTCCTTTAATAAAATCGTCACACCTTATGTGGTGCTTAGTGAATGAACAAAGTTTTTTATAATGGAATTCAAACGGAATCAATTTATAATTTTAAGCTAGACTCAATTTTGAAATCTTTTCATAAATATTCACTTTCATCAATAAGACTTTACGAATGTCAGTTTTATTGACGTTTCAATTCTTAATAACTTTGTTTTTCACCGAAATTCCCTGGAATTTTCATCAAATCGTTTTTGACATTTTAGTTATATGAAAACAAATTTTTTTTTGAATTCACTGGATCGTCGGATCATTCCTTTGATTGTTTGTTTATCAGATTGGTTTTTTGAAGAATTTTTCACAAATACAAAAAAAAATTAAAAAATGTTTGAAAAATGTTTGAAAATTATCATCATGCATTTAAAACGATTAGTTCGAATAAAGAATAATCTGTCGGCAAACGTTAATGGTATTTTTAAACTTTTAAGGCCTTTATTTGTATATCATCCTGCAACATATCTTCAATATTATTTTAATTCATATCGATTAGCGGATAAAAATCCACAACAATTTCAAAGAAAAATTTATGGTCCAATTCAATTGATGAATTTATTGATGATTTGGTTAGCCCTACGTCATGCATATTTTGCTATACGTTGGTATCATATACACGATCCATTATGGGTAGTAATCAACAGCGATTTGATGGATGAAAATGAATTCGATAATTGGGCCAATATATTCATTACTGCATTAATAATACAAACCATTTTATATCTGAATATGTTATACCTGAACAATTCAACCACTACCATATTGGATCGTATATTGATTAACCGAGAGAATAAATTATTCTATTATCCATATCAATATCGTCATTATTTTGCTGCCGATTATATCGCTTTCATGATGAAAATTTGGTTATATTCAATGTATCTTTTCAAGATAAATGTCGGTTAGTTCTCATAAGAATTAAAAAGATTTATTCTAATAATTTTTGAATCAGATTTATATATCTTTGCATTGAGTAAAACTGCTATCGAATATATTTGGAATAATCAGAATTCCTTCTTTGGCTTCGGAACCTTCGGTTACATCCGATTGATTCAATGTCTAATTCATCGTTTAATACTTTTCATTGGCATCTATATTTATGGTCATGTCAATATATTGATGGCCACTGTTGGTATCGCTTATCTCATTGT